GTTGTACGTGGGCTGGGATACTGCCAGGGCGCCCACACCTAGACAGGAGGACGATTAGGGTCCTCAACCAAAGCCTTTGGCTCAAAAGCCTAACCGCGAGGCAGCGGTGTTTGGCGGGAAATGCAAATGCATTAGCATTTCTATGAAACAAGTCGCCACAAGTTCCAACCCCCAACCTGGAGGGCCAGGACACTGTGTTCGTCAGACGTCTAACCATTGACCAACCTGGTGTGAGAGACTCTGTGAGTGTCGCGGGACACTGTCCAGTATAGCTCAATGGATCGCTGAGGTGCGCAAACCGTCACACCACGGTAAGGTCCAGTCTTTTCGTGACGGTATAAATCGTGTGCCATAGCAGCATTGGTTCCAGCTGCTACAGTTTTGATCACCTTGAAGGTGACAGCATGTACATTCAGTTCGGGAACTGAGCAGCTACGCACTGAAGGCGCTAGCTTTGATACACGAGTGCCAGCGACCGCATGATTGGGCCATTTCTGCCAAGCATTGGTGAGTTGAGTCCTGAGGTCCTCATCCAGTCTTGTAGCAGCACGTTACACTTTATAGGTTTGGAGCACATGACAAACTGTGAGGCGGAGTTATATAGGTCATTTAAACTGGTTTGTATTTTTGAAGGATCTGAACCAAGCAGAGGAACATCGTCCACATATTCTGTGTGTGTAAGCGAACATCTAGGGAGAATTCCGAACTCGGAAGTTTCAGAGACTGGCAGAAAAGTTTCAAACAGCACATCAATAACAAAGTTTAAGAAGAAAGGTGGGAGAGGGCAGCCGTTTTACACCGCTGGATGTAGTAAACTCATGCGAAAGCCTGTTGTACACTCATACGCGCATACAATGCCCTCATAAGGAATATAAATTTGGAAGAGACATTTTTGGTCACCAGACACGGCCAAAGTTCCTGATGATCAACAGAGTCAAAAGCATCCTTAAGATCAAGAAACGACCAAACTGAGATAGTTGAAGGAATGGTGCCTTGTCTTAAGGTTAAAACCTGGTCAATGCACCCTCAGCCAGGACAAAACCTAGTTTGGTTCCCACGGATCTGTCTCTCCCGACAATCGATCAACTTATGAAAAGTAAGCTGAGAGCACCTTAGATGCGACGGATACCAGGCTGATTCCACAATTTCACGTTTAAACATGGTCAATGCACCCTCAGCCAGGACAAAACCTAGTTTGGTTCCCACGGATCTGTCTCTCCCGACAATCGATCAACTTATGAAAAGTAAGCTGAGAGCACCTTAGATGCGACGGATACCAGGCTGATTCCACAACAGTTTTCACGTTTTCTCCCTTCTCGAAGATTGGGATGGCTGGCGAAAAGCTCCATTAGACTGATGTTCTGTTTTCGTCCCGAATCTTCTGAAGTGTGTTTGTCAGACTGTTCACCAGGAACTCACCACTCTTTTTGAAGAGTATGGGGGTGCAAACTATCCAAGCCAGGTGCAATGTCGCGTCGGAGGATTGATATCTCACGCTGGATTTCTGCTGCTGAGGGCGGGCTGGTCTTGATGTTCCATTCACGCCTGCTGGATTCTTCCAGGGGTTGTACTGAAGGAGGCCAGCTAAACTGTTCGGCCCATCGCTCAAGATGATGATTTTGTGAGTGAATTACTGTTCCAAATCTTTCGCATATTGTTTTACTGACACGTCCTTTTTGACCGGTTGATCGAATCAGCTGAAATGGGGTGTGACTGTCTTCCCTCTTCATCTACTGGGCGTTCCCGATTGACCCATTCCACAAGCTCCTGATTAATCGGTCGATTAATCACAGTCGCTAGTTGCTGGTGTGGTCATTCTGAGACCTACTGATCTCGACGACAGAAATAGTAGTCCACGAAAATCTGCAGAGAAGCCCATAATATGTCTACTTGAACAAGAACACATCTAATATGCCCCTGAAGAGTGAATCCAGGTCAGCGGTTCGGACAATAATCAAAACAAAAGACATTAAAGGCTATTCAGTATTACAACTCATGATTCTTATCCTCACAATTTTACTATTAATGACAATACCAGTGTAGTTCACAAGAAACCTACCTCTACGTCAGCTGATTCGATTCCCATGAATTCATGGCCCGTCCCGAGGAAACAGTCCGGTTCTGGACTTGAAGCAGAAGAAACATCAAAATCCGCCATTGCAATGGCGTCTGGTGGCAACAAACTAGCCGACCTCAGGTTAGCTGAAACCCTACGGCTCACGGAAGCCCTGGATGCGACCTCCCTTTTGACAAAGCTATCTATCCATTTCATCGAAGAATCTGAAGAGACACTAGGTATATTATGAAGCGGTAGCTGACTGAGTTACCTTGTCCGTTTGACAGTTGCCTGTCTTGGCAATAGGGTTCCAGTTCCCCGGCGGCTTTTATCCATCGTAAGGGGTAAAGAA